CATTTATAAATTTAACGCTGGACGCTCACACTCGTGTGTGACCTATTTTTATAATACAATAGCTGATATTTAAAATAAATATGTACCTAGCAAGAATATTTATCATAACTCTTTTCTGATTTGGTACTTCCCTTCACTTAAACGTCTAATAAAAGAAAAACGTACGTAGATACGTAGTATGTAGATACGAAACGTACCTACGTAGATTTAAGATATATAGCACACTTACTGACCAAGCTACATTAAGGCTTTTACGTAATAGGGTGAAGAAGCTTGAGGCCGACTGTTACTCTAATTACCTAGCTGCCACTGAAAAATATATTGAAAGGAACCCTAAGTATTTTTGAAGTTTTGTAAAGCAACGCTCTAAATCTAATTTAATACCTAGTTACTTTAATTATGGTGGCAATATTTAATGCATTCTCTACACATTTCCACTCAACTTTCCTTGATCCTCTTGAGTTAGTAATGCCCCTACGAATAGGTGTACTACAAGTACATCACACACATCTTTTGATATTAATTCAATTGAAATTATTTTGGAGTATCTTATTACAATTCTGAGTAGCCTTGACCCATTGAAGTCGGCCCTGATTACATATTACTTAAATTTATAATAAAATATGCTAAAACTATAGTTTTGACGATATCTGTGTTATTTAAGAAATCCCTCACTATATGTACTGTTCCTCGGATTGGGGAGTCCGCGTATGTTACTTCCGTGCACAAGAAAGGACCAAAAACTGACATTGTCATTTATAGACCCATTTCCAAATTATGTGTTCTGGCAAAAGTCTTTGAAAAGATTATTTACAATCAAATGTACGCGGTGCTCAAAAATACTTTTAAGACATCACAAAACGGTTTTTTAAAAGGACGTTCAACAGTTTAACACTTGGTACTACTGAATGATTATGTGACGAAGGACATGTGTGATGGTGCTCAGGTCGATGTTATTTACACCGACTATAGCAAAACATTCGATAAAATAGATCATAACATGCTGAAAATAAAGTTATTTAACAATGGCATAAGGGGGGACTTACTTCAGTGGTTTTCCTCTTATCTTGAAAATCGGACTCAGGCTGTAGTTGTCAGTAACTAAATTTCTAGCAGGGTTTCTAACCCCAGCGGTGTACTCCAGGGTTGCTTAATGGGTCCATTGCTTTTTTCGATTTACGTTAATGACATCGACTCTTGCTTCCAAAATACTAATCTGCTATTTTTTTCTGATGATATGAAGATATATTCTGTAATATCATCGACAAAGGATGTGCAGGCGCTTCAATCAGACTTATCACGACTTGATCGTTACTGTCAAATAAACAAATTAGAACTAAACCCCGTCAAATGCTCAGTCGTCACATTTGGCAGGAAACGTACTCCAGTACTAGCACTATACGAACTTAAGAGACAGGTATTACCAAAATGTGATGCTGTGCGAGACCTTGGCATTTACCATGATGCGAAGCTACTGTTCGATGGACATATTAAGCAAATTATTGCTAAAGCATCCAAGGCTTATATTGTAATGAGAATTTCCAAATAAAACTAAAACGCTTTAAATTCTCTACTATACTTTTGTTAGGAGCCACCTTTTTTTTTAATTTTTTTCCGTGCGGAAATCCCCTCGGGAACTGTTTTTCATATCCAGCCAGCCATAAATCGACTTCGATTGGCTGATTGTTCCTTTCTTTTAAAAAATATTTCTAATGAGATTGACTGTCGTAGCCTTCTGCAAAAGTTAACATTTAATGTCCCCATAAGTCGATTCGATTTAATCCACCCATTTCTATTCCATTTTCTTCCTCCAACTATAGAAAACCTCACATGTTGTTCGAGCGAAAACCGATTTCAATAAATTGTGCAAGGAGTACTCTTTTGATCCCTTTAATACCAAAAGCAATGTTGTGATATATATAATAATATACTATATATAACAATCGATCTAAAAGCAAACTTTTAGATCGATTGTTATTTATAGTATAGGTGTAGTGTCGTTATAGTTAGTGTTCCAGAACCTCTACTAAATTACAATGATTCTATTCTATGCATTTTTGTAGCACCGTTTTTGTAGTGACCATTGCATTTTTGTAGCTGTTGGTTTTCCTAAGTGAAGTCACACACGGCCGTCTGATCCCAAACTAGGCAGAGCCTGTACTATGGTAATCAGACCGCTGATAAACATACTTATATATATATATATATATATTTTTTTTTTTTTGTCTTTTTATACTTAAAAAGACAAAAATTCCACAAGAAATTCGAGGTAGGTACGCAATCCAGGAGTTGAATTGGGAAATGCTAGAAGACAGACCGACAAAGAATAACAAAATATTTTCTACAACAAGATGAAAAAGACACCTACAAGGTGCATGCAATGAATCTAGTAATGCAGAATGAATGGTTAACTCTAGAAAAATGTTGTATCCCCCAGCTTTGAAATAGCGCACACTTTTATACGATTGGTCACCTGCCCTGTTATAATTTTACCTCAACGCCTTTCAATTGACTCTCCCCGATCAAAGCAACCTAGTAAGGTGGGGAAAAGCTACAGAAAAGGCTATACGATCTGCAGTGCGGAAATAGGTACAGCCAGACACTTACTGACAGGTTGTAAGGCGCTATTAGACTGGGGTCATTATTCACGTCGCCATGATAGGGTATTATAAATCATAAAAACAACAAACATGAGAACTAACATCGCGTTTGTAATGGAAGGCTCAATAAAAAATACTTCACAAAAGCTGTACTCAATTGTAAATACCGCTAGTGACTGGACATTATTAGTGGACACGTATGAAAATCATTAGAGAATACCGGAGGATATCTGTGCCTCGGCGTCCAGACTATATTTCAATATATATTTCAATTAAGCTTAAGGTCTTTTCTTGAACGAATATGTAAAGCGGCATTGCTAGGCTCATATCAAATATGGTTAGGTAGAGGGGGTAACACAGCAGACAGTGGAGGTAAGCGCTGAGGCGTGGCAAGGAGTTCTCCCTAAACCTGTACCTGGGTCGCAATTCCCAAACGCTGTCGAATTCACATGTGTTGCCCCCATCTATCACGTGACGGACCCGGCACCCGCACGGTGAATCCATGGAACGCTAAGAAATAGGTCCATCATACTTTTTTATATTTAAAATTTAATGAAGATCGGTTGAGTAGCAAACAACAAGCAAACTCACTTTCGCATATAGAATATTAGTCTGAATATCTGATATAACAAATGCCATCTTTTTATAAGTGACGCTTTATTTGTATCTCAATATTATGATAACCAGGCACTTATTCAGAATGCTCACAGGTTTTCCTTGTGACGCAATCCTCATAAATAAATGTTAAAAATAGAATACGAGTAGTTACGAAGTACCTAACAACAACTTAACCATCTCTGTATCTTACATCATCTTCATTCACATCATGGAGAACCTTTAATTTAGCAAATAATTTTTATTCCCTTTTAAACTATGTGTTCTTGTATTATTGTAAAGTAATCAATGCAGGAATGTTGTGGTTTTCCAAATCATCAATCAATTGATGATTATTAAAAAAAAACAATGGATCAATTATTATTAATTATTTTCTAGATAACTATAGCTGGTGGTGAATATATTAACACTTCCCACTCTTTTTATAGAGAGTTTTTGTTAAACATCTAAGCATACTCCAATTTATTAGTATATCGCAGTTTTATCTAAAAATCTTATTTTTAATATTAGTTGAAAAAAAGACTATTATTTATTTATTTTTATTAAGTATACAAATAGATACAGAGAAAACTTACCTTAAATACCTGATGTATTGCGTGTTTGATAGGGAACAAATCGGAGCAACTAGTAGTGTTCTTGTTAGTTGGGGTTATAGTTCAGTTAAGTTGACTTAGTTACAATATTTTATGAAATGCTTTAACCGTAGAAGAGCCATGTTTCGGTACATTTGAGCCGGCTCGAAAGACGTGATAGTAGTATCATTTTCGTAAAATTAATGTTAAGCAATTCTCCTATTACATTTCACCGAGTGAGTGAAGTCACCGGAGGGGCAAATAACTAATTAAAAAAATATATCTTAGATGAATTTGTTACTTGTATTATTAAACTACAAGGGGCTGCTGTTCACCAGGGCCTCAATTCTGCTATTTTATGTTAACGTACAGCCACTGTCATTCCATGGACACGCTATTGAGCTTCCATTGACATCGGTCGATATATCGGTATCTTACTAACATAAATTTATAGTATCAATAGATTGTCGTATGTATAGTGGCAATGGCTCATCCATGGTGATATCAACAACATCGCCATATCTGGCAAATTAAATATTATCATTGCCATTACAAATTTAAAATTTACCATTTACAAAACCTTTACAAACACATCGACGACATTTGTATCAGTGGCAGTTCCGTGATAAGTCATCGGGAGGCCATTGATCTTACATACTTAGTTCAATACGAAACGTTTTAAACTTTCGACTATCTATTGACACAATATTAAAATAATAGAATTGAGGCCCAGGCATCTAGCCTAGTTATTCTTATGTGTTTGAGGAACACGATAGCTGTTTCTCCACACAACATAATACAATTTTTTTTTCCTGCGGAAATCCCCTCGGATACCACCTATCGGTGGCATGTCGGACTCGAACCGACTAAAACCGCACGCCGTCTCGGGTACTAATAGCCGGGGAACCAGGTATACCCTAGAAAGGAAGTCCCTGGTGCCCCGACATATCTCGGGCCATCTACAACAACAGGTAGACGACCCCCCCCCGTGTGGGAACCCCATGTTCCCTCTGCTCCCTGGAAGCGAGCTCGCTTCGCAACGCACTCGGGGCCACCCTGGCCTGCTTCTGCTAGGGTGACAGATGGCCTTAACACAACATAATACCTATATTTTGTTGTACTCTCTACTCTATCAGTTTATAAGAATGCATTTATAATTTGTTCGTTTCGCGTCATTGAAATTACTGATTGGCTAACCAGATCAACTTACAAAATGAGAAAATTCCTTTCATTAAAAATGAATATGGCCAAGAGTCTGTATGTGAGTATTATTTTTACCGAAATCGTATACGTTTATGTTGTATTTAGTATTTGATTTTCGCAGTGTTCTTGCAGATATGTATAATTCTTGCAATAGTACATTGTGATACAACTACGAAACACAATACGTAAGTATGATTGTAACTAATATAATGTTTATTTAAATATTTAAAAGCTTTATTACCTTAGTTTTTATGTATCTGAAATGATATTCTCTTAGTTTCAAACTATCTAAAAATCGACTATTTTCGTCTGTTCGTGTATGCGTTTGTTGTTAGAGTTTAAAAGACTTGTCATACAAAGTTGGCCAAAAGAAAATATACATATGTATTTTTTTTTTATAATGTTGGGATCAGAAATTCACAAGTCAGCGTAAACAGCACGACTTTTTATATAGGTACTTTTTTGAACCTAGTAGAAAAAAAAATGAGAATGCTATTGATCAATTGCTGTGTATAGACAGTAAACAGCAATTGAAACAGACAGTTTCAATAATGACTAAGCGGAGTAAATAATAAGTTAAAATCTATACTAATATAGTGAACCTGAGAGTATTTTGTTTGTTTACTCACTAGTGTGTGGAGCTACCAAACTGACTCGTAAAATTGTTTATCTACTGAACTGAAAAAAATATAATACTGAGGAACCAGGGTGCGGCTATCTAACATCACGTTTTGACCCTTTAGAGCGAAGCAGTGTCGGTATGGTAGGCAACCATTGACCTCACTAGTAAAACATACGTCCTTGTAGATTAAAACTCATAATCACTCAAATTCCAGCATGATGTTCTAACCTGGCGAGGATTGAGGTTATAGTTCAGCAAAGTTTATTAGTTTGGAAGCTTAACTTTAAGAATTTAGAATTACGAAATGGAAAAAAGAACAAACGCATACATACACACAATGTAAGAGTATAAAATTGATGATTTACTAAGGCTAGGTTTAACATTGCAGTCAAAGAGGTGTAAATATTTTTCATAAAATTATACATAATACAATGAGTCATTCGTTTTGGATTACATAATACTAACTTACATACAATTTTAGAAAAATCCTTTAGAATGTTGAAAAAGAACTTTCGGAAAGTTAAACTGACTTATAAAACAGGAACAAACTGTACAAATATGTATAAATGTATTTAAGATGGTCTTATTTCACATGCCGTTAAACTTAAATTCATAAAGTTAAAAAATCAATATTAATAAACCACGGAACTAACACAGGACAGGGCATCAGGCTTAGAGTTGAGTAATAATAGTTATTTTATGTATTTATTTACACATTATGCATATTTGGTGCATTGGCAGACTTACTGCCTTAGGTATTCTCTATCAGTCAACCATTGGGAGATGCAGAGAAAACAGGAAGTAGGCGCATTTTAGTTACAATTGATTTAGATATTTAGTATTGTATGTATACTTTGTACAAAATCATATAATATATACACATATACAAAACTGTCATATACTACACCTATACATATTAATATTACACATAAGTATATACCTTATAATACATAAATACAGTATAAAAGTATATAAATATATACATACACACGCAAATAGATACTGATAACAATATTTTATTAAAATAAAAAGAAATCATGAGCAATTTGATTCAGCATTCCAAAGGCAAACGGACTGAACGAAAAAGGATGAGCCAACGAACTCAGGCGTGTCGGAGGGACAACGAAAAGAAGGTTATTGGAGGACCGAAGGTTTCTATAGTGATTACTACATAGGAGTTGAAAGTAGGAAGCTAAATACGTTGGCGAAGACGGGTTTTTAAGAATAGTGAATAAGACAGAGAGATTTGCGTTGTAGACGAATGGGTAACCAGTTAAGCTGCGAAAGTTGACACATGATCATATTTACGGAGGTTAAAGATTTATCGAATGCAGTTATTAAGAAGACGGTCCAACTTACAAAGAAGATCTGCATTCAGGTCATAACAGCACAAGTCACCATAGTCGACTATTGGGAAGATAAGTGTTTGCACAAGCATGATTTTGGTTTTTGCGTGTAGAATTTTTTTCAGGCGTTATAGCACTCGAAGAGTACCAGTAGCAATGCGGCACAGATTTGCAATTTGATCACGCCAATTCAGTTTGGAATCGAGAAGCAAGCCAAGATCCTTAACAGATTGACAAACAGGTATTATAGTACCGTTAACGATAACAGATGGAAGCATCTCAATGTTTACTCTGCTCATCAATCGGTGACTTCCAATTATTATAGTTTCACATTTCGTTCGACTGATAGGCCGAACTGGTCAGTCCATGCCTTAATTATTTCCAGGTCTCTATTGACCATATCTATTACTATTGAGATATCTTCAACCTTACTTTGTGATCGAGCCATACGTACAACGAAGTCTCGGGGTTAGGAGATTAATATGCACTAAAAATAGCAAAGGAGAAAGAATAGCGCCTTGAGGGACACCAGAGCCAAGATTACACCAGTTTAATTCGATACGAAGACTCATCGACACGAAGAGACTGCTGGTGTCCCTAAAGATGAGAACCATTCCAGTTCTTAGGGCGAGACCTTATCATAAGAAAGGACAGATATAAGGATATCCTGATTGACGGTATTAAAAGCATTCAAGAAGTTAACTAGTACCAGTACAGTAACCTTAGTGTCCTCCATAGCCGCCCTAATATCGCCAGTCACTTTAAGATGAGCGGAAGTAGTACTATGACCAGATCTGAAACCAGACTGCAATAGACTTAACAGTTTGTTTTTGTAGATAAATTCAGAAAACTGCTTGAGAACACAGGATTCTAGGACCTTTGAGAGGAAGCGAAAAATCGATATGGGTCTGAAGTAGTTAGTAAGTGCAGAATTTGCAGTTTTAAGTAAGGGGATGACATAAGATTAGCGCCTTAATGATGGGAAAATTCCGGACTCTAGTGAGAAGTTAATTATATGGGTGATTACAGGTAAAACTTGGTAAAGGATTGTTGTAATTATGCGTCGGCTGATTTGATCACAGCCAACAGTGTTAGATCTAATAGTAAGTATTATCTTTCTTATCTCACCCGATGCAACCGCAGAAAATTGGAAAGGGTTTATCTCAGGACTCTTTAGACTCGCCAGATAGTCAACAGTACGATGCCTGGTGTGGTGTTCAAAATTAAGAGAGGAGAAATGACGATTTAAACCAACCACCCCCTGCAGACCACCCGATCGCTGCTTACCAATACCCAGAATTCCAAGGAACTTCACAATATTGGCGGGGAAAGAATGGGTAATATTATCAAGAATGTGTCGGCGTTTAGCGTTACGTATCATCTGATTGCATCTATTTCTTGCAGCTTTGTACAAAGCCCGCTTTTCCTCGGTGCGATCCCTTCTAAATTTACAAAAGGCCCTATCTCTGCGCCGCATAGACATAAGCACCTCCTTCGTCATCGGGTGCGGGTTAATTAATGTTTATTTGTGTTATGCATATATATGCAAATATTGGGTAATCGTTTTTTGCATACTGCATATTATTATAGTTGTAGTGTATAGAAGTTATTATTAAAATTCTTGTAATTCAAGCCTGCAAATTTTAACATAAAAAAGCTAATTTATTTTTATTTCTTTATTTTAAAATAATATTAAATTTATCAATTTTATTTAAGTCTAGGATAAATATTGAATTGAATTAATATAGAAAAAGAAAGGATTTTTTTTTATTTAACTGGTATTTGTGTATCTATACTAATATTATAAAGCTGAAGAGTTTGTTTGTTTGTTTGTTTGTTTGAACGCGCTAATCTCAGGAGTTACTGGTCCGATTTGAAAAATTCTTTCAGTGTTAGATAGCCCATTTATCGAGGAAGGCTATAGGCTATATATCATCACGCTAAGACCAATAGGAGCGGAGCACCAATGAAGAATGTTTCAAAAACGGAGAAAATTTATTACTATTGACAGACGCAGACGAAGTTGCGCGGGTCAGTTAGTAAGGAATAAATGGGAAAACGTCTCCAAATTTCACGAAATTAGTTTAGGATTTATGTAATCTAAAATTTTACTTTAGAAAATAAAATGTAATATGTATATAGTAAAAGGTTGACTGGTAGATGATGCCATGTGCCATTAAGTCGTTTAAAATGTAATGCAGGAAGTGTAAAATACAAAAAAAAATATATTATATAATTGTAGTTGAGTAATAAATATTTAATTAATGTTACTTTACTCTTAAAATAGGATTAAGAAATAATATTATACAAAAATAATATTTCAATATTTAAACATGACTGTAAAATTATCCTAATGCCTATTATACTCCGTGTTACAATATTGACCGCGGATCGCGTTATACATATTATAAAATTGACTACTTTTTAAATCAAAGTATATTTTATAACTATAATAAGCTACGATGCATTAGCCGTTTCTAACATATATCATAGAGTAATTATACATGACATTATAAGTACTTGTTTTTCTCTTCACACAATATTATATATTATAAAATAAAGTTCTAGGTGACACACCACATTTTTCATCGAACTTAGAGTGCAGCATCAAAATCCATTCTTGGTTGCTCTGTAAATCTTTCACGTTCTCAAAAATACAATTTGTTAGTGTTAGTCATCACCCTTTTAAATAAACACATTTATATTGTGTGTTGTAAATAAATATATGGCCCAGACTGGAGTGGACACCATTAATTTAAACCAGTAGTAAATATTTATTTATATATAAAGAAGTACATTTCCTGATACACAATCTTATGACTTGACGAAATGGATGCTTTCCAACTATTTAGAAAATGTATGTGTTTATTTTAGAACTAAACCTGGTCTGAAAAATAGCACTGTCAGTGGTGTCGCCAAAACCAACTCCAGCAATGGACTACCAATAAATTTACGGGCACAAATGTAAGTTCATAAAATTTCAGTTCTGATTATATCCTATTTGTATTATTATATTTATATTTCTGGTTTTGCGAGTATCTTTTGATAAATATAAAATTCTTTTATCACGTAAAGTTAAGATTTTTTATTTTGCTATATTTGAGCAGTGCTTTAAAGTGGATTAAACGATTAATGAACTTATGATAATATCATTAATTGATCACACATTAAATTAGAAACTATAACTTTATCTCGTTCTGCTACTTTTAAATTTTCTCTATCTACAGCTGCAAATCTATCAAAGTCAGGTCATGTTGCCAAATTATTGATCGATCTTATTTTATCTTAGATGATTGATGATAGATTATGATGTAATCGAAAATTGAATATTTCTCTTTATGCAATATCTACTTGGTATATCTGAAAATAACATTATTTATTTTTACAGAGATGTACCTCTAGGAAATGACACCACTTTAAAAAATATTACAACTAAATCCGATAATTTGGTTAAACATCGACGGGCAATTTTAATCATAAATGCATCAGTATTACGAAATGGAAAGGGGGATGCGCATAAAGGTCCACAACATGCAGAAAATCTTTTGTATGAGGAGTATAATGACGATGGTTCCTTACAGCTATCATATTCAATGAAAAACCTGGACGAAGTCGCCAAGTTCTTTGAAATGTACCTTGAAACGAAACTTTGTCAAAATCATTGTGATGAACAGGAGACAGAATAAAAGATTTTATTTTCCTAAAAGAGTAGCAACAGCTGCAGCGGGAATGCGCAGGAGTTCATCTGTGGTAGTCTGAAATAAAAAGTAACAAACAACATGACTAAAATTTTACTTATAGCTTAAATTTGAAAAAAAAAAACACACATAACATAAACATAATCTAATCCGAAAAGAATGAAGGTACGCTTTAAACTGACAAAGGTAGTACTTGCAAAACATAGTATTATATAAATTATAATAAGAATATTTTCACAAAATCTGTACACTCATTTAAACTTACGTTATTTTCATCATAAGTGCCTGTTGTATAATCTATATTGTCTTCAGTTGTCGTTTGAAATATGGAGTTTATCAATTCTTGATCGAGCTCCAAGAATTGCTCAGATGAATTACTTGTAATATTATCCTTGTTATTCTTTTTGTTTTCATTAATTATTTGTACATTTCTAATTTTATCAGCTTTTTTCGATTCAATATATTCATCTACTATATTGGATTTTATTAAATCACCTGAAAATGAATCTTCCGTGTTTGCTTTTAAATACGGATTTCGAATCGGTGATGCATTGGTTTGTATGTCATAATGGCTTCTTTCATCGTTGTTAATAACACTTAAAACTTTTACTGGTTTATACAAATTTTCTTCGTTTGTATGCCGATGTAGAGGTGAGGTAAATAATTGACCGAAACTACTCAAAGACTGTTGAGCACGTGAAATAGGACTTTGTACTGAAAATCTGAAAAAATTGTAATTTAAGCATTTACTAAATACTATTTATTAATAATCCGACAAGGGTGAAATAGTACTCATCCGTATTATTAAGTTTAAGTTAAATATTTATTCTTAATTCAAATCTAACTTCTTCTCAGCACAACTAAATTAGGTGGCAAAAAGTTTAATGGAGAAGCTAGTATTCTTAGATCGAAACGAAGTGTGTAAGAGATATGAAACGGAGATGTAGGTAAACTTTGTAAATGTAAAATATATAGCAGGAAATTACGGCTTAGAAAAAGTTAAGAGGGGTGACGGTTTGGTGATTTTCTATGATTGATGACAAATACATCCAATAACCATAAAAAAATAACTAACCAATGCAACAACAGATCAGTATCGATAGGACGGTTGGAAGGATTTGTAATAATAAAAAAGAAGACTTGTGATGAGAAGAACTTAGTGGAAGCGTAGAAAACGAAAGAATGAAAAATTATAAACGCGGTCTATTTGAAACATTCTTAAAACCTGGTACTTTCAAAATATAGTAATTCAACAAGCTAACGTTATTCTATTAAGCATTAATTGACGCACTAAGACGTTAACGAATTATCAAAGATCACTAACCTTTCCACTAGTATATTTTTAATATTTGTAATAGGTACGAGTAAACCACAACATGCGGGCCATCGCTTTAAATCCCGTATAAAACGATATTTCACTTGTGTGAATGTTAAGTTCACCCACATACAATATTATCTGTTAATTTCATTTTTGTTAGTACGTTGAACGTCATTGTATAGGAAAAACAAATCATTTAAATAAACTTACAACTGCAGCATATGATGGATCTTCTTTAAATCTTCACGAAAATGCCAAAATCCTATATTCTGTTTTAAGGGAAGCTTTAAGTCTAACAAACAAGATATTAAGGTCTTGTGCGGAGGTAGTAGTATTCCTCAGATATGTTGTTCTATAGTTACAGAATCGATTACTTAATTGATTCTCGTGGTCTCCCAGAAATTAGGTTAATACATTTTGATTAATGTGATAGTTATTTCTCTTGGTTTGGTCATGTACATGACCAGACAGATTTACATATACATATATATAAATGTGGAAAAGTAGTCGTAGTTATAAATGTTTAAAGACACGATCTTGGCTCAAATTAAGGTAAATTATTGTAATAAGGATGGATTCTAAACTGTTTACTGACTCAGTCTTAATGTTTTTTTGCCTTATCTATTTTTTGTCAGTCAAATCTGAGGTAGGTACATTTAGAAGGTTATATTATTATTATTATTAGGTATTTAGAACATCCATCATTCAAATACAGTATTACAATGTCTACGAATGGTGTGATATGAAAGCAGATATTTTAAAAATTATCTAAAATGAGTTCAGACTTTCTAAAAGCAACTGTCAAAAAGAAAATAAATGAGTCGACAGAGTATGGTACTTACTTTAATGAAATAATATTTGAAATGATTGAATTAGGTCTACGAAAAGTTAAGTGCGCAGAAGCAGACTAAACAGCTATTTTTATCAATAATATTTTAAAATTTACTTACGGCCTTAATCCAAAAAACGAGAAACTATCAGCGGGTGATCTTTTACTTCTGGCATTCGTCATTAAACCTGTCGTACAGGCGATGATTTGAAACATCAAAAGTGTATGCTGAAAAAATAAAGTAAACGAGAAACGATTATATTGAAAAGTATTCTCATTAATCAAGAAACTATTTAAAATTCTTATTTCTTAACGCTTGTGTTTTGTAAAATCATGACTTCTAATGTATTCAATTGTATACCACATCACCATTAGTTTATCTTCACTTGTAGTCATATAATTTGGTAACTTACCTTGGCTAATATCATTTTATTCACAAGTAGATATAGAGAATATTTTTATAGTAGGTTTTATATTGATACAAGAAGATGCTTATTTTCTCCTCTTATGTTATTTATTCTAAAAGATATCTAAAATACACAATATTTAATTTTTAAGTAACTTTGCTATTTTTTTACTATACGTTTACTCTCGACACTGAACCAATCCACGAATGAATGAATCTTACGCCAATTTCCTGTTCATAATATTCTTGGAATCTTCATCTTGTACACAATTTTTTGCTTAAAAACAATTATTGCGGTACGTAAGTATAGTATTCAATAACAATTAGGCTCAAAAGAATCGTTTATTTACAAGTGTACATAAATATTTCTGAGGATTGACCTTAAAGATTGTTTAATAATTTTACAGATTATGTGTGTCCTATAATTGCTCTTGTGTAGAAAGAAGGTTTACTACCCCACCCCTAACAGGCTTCTATCTGACTGGAAATAAGGCTGCGTCAAATTGTGTGTGGAACACAGTCCCCTCATATAGTATTTTCAATCTTAGGGCGATTGTTGGGTATGTGGCTTGACTGTAAAGCAATCATTGGTAATGTAGGCACTCAATGCAAATTTGAGGTTTTTGCTTAATGTAACTTTTAAATAAGCGTTTCCTTGAAGAAAATTGCTGTTACCGAGCAATAGAAATACAACTTTTAGTCGAGCGAAGCTGTACGTAAAAGCAAGTTTAATACCTAGCTCGTTTTTTTATTTAACCAAAGTTATCAGTAATAAAATAGGAAGTAGAACAGCACGGTGGTTGTGTAGGTACATATATTGCTTATTTAAATGTTATTAAGTTTGTAAATAAATTACGGTAGTCTTTTTACATAATGCCCTTGAAATATTAGCCACGAGTATGTAGCTGCGTATTGTTTTTTGTAAAGATATTTCTGAGGTGTCAAATACAGTTTAGGTTTTTACTCTTTTTTTCTTTTTTAATTGATTTAGTGAACAAGTACACGACTACATTTCAAGTACCATCTGCTCGCTGTTTTTTTGGAGTAAAGGTTCTTTCTTGTTATGTTGACATTAGAGTTGTGTTAACACCGTGTTATTTACCTATTAATTTCTTACGTGGTGTGAATTCTGTGATAATTCTTTTCATTTTTTTGTATAAAATTGTTTGCAATATTCATATCTTTAATTTTTATAAATTTGCATTATTAGATTAGTATTAATTGATAGATAGTACAGTTTTAATTTGAAAACACACAGGATAACATAACTTGCTTATGTCTACTTACTAGCAATATCATAAAGAGATTGCAAAAGTAATACTATGGAGTCACCAATTAAGCGGTATCCTTCAAGTAACCATTGGATGTATAGAGAAACTAGGTAATGAGAGGGGCTGCAGTATACAATACTGTATTGATAATACAAAATAATATATACTTACTATTTGGAGAAATTTATAATCCATACTTCCATTATAAATGTGAAACTTTGTTTGTTTCGTTGTTACCCTTTTACGACTAAACCACTAACCGTATTTTAAGTATTATTTCACCAATGGAAAGCTACATTATCAGCGAATAGCGCCGCGAGCAAAATCTAGTTAAATATAATTGCAAACATAACATTTACACACTTATGTTGACGGACCTTAAACTGAAAATTTTATGTTTACTCTTCTAAAACTATAAAACTAAAATGATGTACATATCGGTATATCGTCAGTAAAGTTTTAAAGGAGCAAAATAACAATTTAACTGAAGGTAGAGCAGAAATATTAGCAGTGCTTCACTTGAAGACGAAACTATGTATTGCACCATTTTTTAAACAACATGTCATCCATGTATAAATGATATCAAAATATTATAAATCGTAACAAGATTACTTACCTACGCAGAAACTATACATTTATCTTACTATATGTCTTCACTAACGGTATGAAATAATCGATAACTATAGTAGTAAAAATATATGAGTATAAATGTGCCTCGATAAAGGTTGACGAGATGAAATCGTCATACTCATGTAAATATTTGTATCACACTCATGATCCAAGTTGTTAAAAAAATTATTCTATGTATTTTGATGAGAAACCGGTAAGATTTAAGCCTGTTCAGACCTTAAAGCTATATATTTGTATTATTATTGCATACTAGCTGTACTCTGTCACGCTTAGTGGTGGCACATTTTAGTTGATTTAAATAGATAAAGACCATCTTTGAAGTGTGTTGTATATTGTATATCTTGTCAAAATTTGAGCTTAGCTTGATTTGAGTCGGTGATGAACTTTTTGAGTTTTTGAAGCTTACACAAACCAACTTAACAAGTTAATGTTAATGGATAGATGTACAAAATAGGTATCGTAGGGATAGTTTTATAATATATGTTCTTAACCATAAATATTATACTTCACGTTCATACCAAATATTTTAATTAAACCAAATGTTATAAATATTAAATTAGCTAGTCTAATCTACGTAAATATGCGATAATTCGATTTAAAATTGTTTTAGTATACAAAAGTAAGTATCAATATCACCTCGAAAGAGTGTCTTGTTTGAAAAATGAATAAATCAACGAGCGACACTTGAATTTACATCACGTCTACTTCATAATAATTCCTCAGATAATCTTATGATATGTTCAATATGACAGGAATATTCAAAAAGTATAAAATAATCTAATCTATTTAAGTCCGGATGTTCGACTGATGGCCGAGTCCGTGTGGTGACGGATTAAGAATACGGAATGTCACCACCCCTATTCATCCCGTGGGTGTCGTAAGAGCCGACTAAGAGAGCACACTATACAGGACAACAGCACTGAAAAGAAAAGGAAAACTTGAAACAAACCCTATATCAACCCGTCTGGCCTCCTTTCTAAGGAGAGGCCTATGTCCAGCAGTGGACTGTTATAGGCTGTTGATGATGATTATCTTTGCTTTCTTATCAATTACCAAATAGCAAAATCCTTATTAGTATTGAGAAATTTGCTCCAGGTCTTGGCCTCAAGGATCAAATCGATATTTTAGAATATAGGAGAAAGATAGAGGAATGCCATCAGGTCCTGGGGCGGTGTTTTTGGCTTTAAGACGTTGCAAAGCCACCCTTAGTTCTGTCCAAGTGACCTCTGGCACGTCGTCGTCACCCACGTATGGCGCCTCGCGCGCCGGCGGCGGAGCCCTCTGTGGTGAGGTGTGAGCCACCACTTGCAATGGGAACAGGGAGCCAACAACCCCTGGCCTTAGATGACGTAGCTCTCGAGCCCCGACTGAGAGGGTTCTTCAACGCATGCCTCGAGCGTGGCCAGTTTCCGAAATAGTGATAGACGGGGAAACTGGTTCTCATCCGAAAGGAGGGGCGCCCGGCGGACTTACCATCCGCCTGACAGCCCATAGTGTTGCTTGACGAGGTGTGCAAACTCTACGAAAGAGTGATTGCAAGGCGCCTCGTCAAGCATCTCGTCATAGTGGGGCCGGATCTGGCGGACACCCAGTACAGTTTCCGTCAGGGGCGCTCCACCGTGGAGTTGCATCAGGGAGGCGCTTGTGTATCACGAAGTGCCTCTCTACCTCCGCCGCATAGTCGCGTCATATTTATCAGAGAGAGCCGTCGTCTACCCAAGTAGAACCGATCTCGGTAGACGTGAAATGTCGTGCGGTGTCCCGCAGGGATCGGTACCGGTTAGGGCCACTTGTGGAACATCGGCTACGACTGGGTGCTTCGTGGTGCCTTTCTGGACGTTGTCGCCGTCACGTCCTACGTGGACGACACTGTGATGGCGTGCGGCAGAACGCACCGTGAGGCAACCCTGAGAGCCACGGCCGGGTTTGCCCAAGTCGTGGAGCGAATCCGGCGACTGGGTCTTGAAGTGGCTCTGTACAAATCCAAGGCCTTGTTCTTTCACGGGCCTCGGAGGAAGAAACCTGAGGGAACCAGCCTTATAGTAGTTGGCACTCGCATCAGCATCGAGCCCTCGATGAGGTATCTGGAGCTCGTACTTGACAGCCGGACTTCGGACAATATTTCCGAGGTTTGGCCCCCAAGTTGGTTGGAGCAGCGCGTGCATTGGCGTGGCTGCTGCCTAACATGAGGGGACCCGATGACTCCTGCAGGAGACTCTACTCGGGGGATGTGCGGTCCATGGCCCTTTATGGGGCCCCCATATATGCGGAGACCCTGAAGGCCAGCAATGTCGCACTACTGCGACGACCGCAGCGAGTGCTGGCCATCAGGATCATAAGGGGGTACCGCACGATCTCCTTTGAGGCGACGAGTCTCCTTGCCGGAACTCCACCTTGGGACCTGTAGGTGAGGACCCTTGCGGCTTTGTATCAGTGGCGCAAGGAGGCGCGGGAGTTGAGTGGGTGTCCTGAGTCTCGAGAAATCGAGAATCAGAAATCTAAACTCCGTCAGGTCCTCGTGGAGGAGTGGAAGGAACCACTTGGGCAACCGAGCGCTGAGCACGCCGTTATCGCGGCGGTAAGATCCGTTATGGAGGATTGGCTCGAGAGGCATCACGGAACCCTCTCATACCGGTTGACGCAGGTGATGTGTTTAATCCGCTAGGAGCCAACGCCTAAGGGCCACCACTGAGCTCCACACGCTGGCAGAATGCCGACGTGGGTGGAGCAGAGGCGTTGCTTCGTGGCGGCCACCGGAGTGGGAATTCTCTCACTCGATAACATGATTGCCACCATGGTAGTACCATGGTGGCAATCATGTTATCGATGTATGATGATGATACGGAGCGAGAGTTCGTGGAACTTCGCCATCTCCTTCTGCGAGCAAGTTATGCTTGTTAAGGAGATGGCGGAGCGAGACCGGGAGAGGTTTAGAACTCTCCCGGGGCGCCAGGCCCGGCAACGGGACAGGTACCGCAGACGACTCAGGCGCCGAAGGTCGCAGAATGACCTCCGTCCTCCATAAGCGCAGGCCTGGGGGTGGTAGGTGAGGTCATCTGTCACCCTAGCAGAAGCAGGCCGGGGTGGTGGCGAGACGCGCTCCAGAGCGCGCGCGCCATTTCGGGAGCACAAAGTGGACATAGGAGTTCCCACACAGGAGGGGTCATTTACACGCCGTATATGGCGAGAGGTAGTCGGGGTGCGGTTTTTGGTCGGTTCGAGTCCGACGTAACCACCGGTGGGTGGTATCCGAGGGGATTTCCGCACAGAAAGAAAAAAAAAGGAGAAAGATAGAGAAAAGAAACGCCTTTCAAAATTCAAATAGTACCATTATTATTGTTAATTTATCGCAATTAATTTCATAGGCGCTTTAACACATTACTCAGAATGTTACATGGCTTGGAGTTTTTGGAAAGAAAAATAGTTTTATTATCTATTACTTTTTAGGTGTACATAAACAACTATATGTGTCTATCTTTTTTATAATATTTTTCATATGTCAGCCCGACCATTACCAAAGCAGTCTCTCTAAAGTCATTCATATATGTTTTTTCTTTCTTAAAGTTAAGGTTTCACAAGATTATCTCCACTATTCCAATCTCTATCTATATCAAATATCAAACCTCACCTACATTTCATCATATGCACATTAATTTTTGAATTGGAATTTTACTAATGATCGAAGAAACGTAAACGTGTAAACATGTAAGCATTTGTGTGCAATGAATATGTGATATATGAAAGGAATGTACCAGTAATGTACTTGAATGTACCTTTAATGATGGCATTTCCTAAGACTCGCTCTGGAAAGAAACGCCGAAACAAACCACAGAGGTGTACTTTTTTTTTAAGTCCGTGTAAAATATTAAAGAGAACTATCTGAGTGCAGTAAAAGGTCTGGGTTGGCCTTTTGTAATTATATGTACCTCCATGAAACAAGAATAAAATAAGCCGCAGTCCTGGGAGTCACAATAACGGGTGAATACTGACAATGAATGTAAGAGATATCTTATGATCACCTAACATTTACCAAAGGAATGTACTTTAACACCTCATAAAAGCTAATCTAAAAATATAATGCGACGAGAAAAAAGAAATTGACGCCTACCATTTTTAATAGCAATATGGGGAAAGTTAAACTTGCAAGTATTGAAAATTTAACGTGATTATGAGAGATTGTCTCTTTAACGATCATATTCTTGAAAGAAAAATCTTGTGTTTAGTTTTACATCACTTTCACACACTGATTTTCATTTTAAAAATATTAGTACAATACAATGGTAATTCGCGATTCATTATTTACCTAGAACTTTATTTATGTTTAATTTTCAATACGAGCAAAAAACTTTACTCAATATTGCTATTAAAAATGGTAGGCGTCATTTTTTTTCTCGTTAATTACTAATGCGACGCATCATATTTTCAGATTATATTTTATGAAGTACGTTACAGGTACATTCTTCTGGTAAATATTAAGTAACCATAAGAAATCTATAACATTCATTATTAGTATTCACCCATCATTCTGACTTCCAGGACTGAGGCTCATTTTATTATTGTAATTGTTCTTGTAACATGGAGGTACATTAAATTTCATTAAAGGTACATTGAAGTGCATTCTTTTCATATAAAATATATTCATTTTCGCAACTATACACTCGCCATTCTGACCCCACACTCTTGCCAGTTTGATGGACTCTATTACTCGAATGACTCATACATTCGTTGAAAAATAATTACTTAGGATTCATTGCAAGGTATACGTAAGTAGTATTCAAGAGAGCGCTATCAAATTCTAAGTATAAAATTTGTGTGTGTCAAACTTTAAATTGGTAAACACGCATATGGACCATCTATTATGAGTGACAATGATGTGCCTATCAATGTTATTGCGTTGATTTCACTAAACTAGAAATAAGAGAATACGGAACAAGGAAAGAAATAAAGAACAAGGGTGATAAGTATGAAGTAAATGTCAGTTTTATATCATCGTTTATATTTCCTTCTAGAACTGTATTTATTCAATCTTGAGGCTACAGAAGGTGCTCCACTGCGTATCCGCAGCGATAGCTCTTGTTGCAGTTTGCATTGGTTTGAACGAATATCAGTAGGACTCACTTGTCGCGCCAAGCTTGCCATGTTGTTCAGCCTATAGCGGCCACGTTCCATTTGCAATATGCCCAGTCTTACACCTCTTTTCAATGCCCTGTAAAATGCAGATTTTCTCAAGCTTACTATTATACTCGTATACACATAAATGAATGTATTGCGATCTAAAGTAGAAATACTACGTACTCTTCCAACCAACCTTCCTTTACCAACCAGTTTTCCAATTCACTGTGCTAGTAATTATATTGCATAGTAAGTTTGTTTCTTATAATTTAAAGCAATGGTATAGTAAGGGCTAAAATTTTTGTCTTGCAAAATACTAACTATAAAACTTCAAACATTTGAAGGGATAAGAATATGGTTCGTTTTATTTTTATTTCAAATCGTTTCATCTCATTTAAGTTTAATACGAATATCACACAATATAGTAATGGCAGTAATGCCTTGGAATGCAATAAAGAGGCAAACGATATTAACGTGAGAGTTTTTTAAATGACAAGGCCGTTGTCGAGCGCACAAATGATGCGTTGTTGATACGGATCATCACTTGTTAAATTTGTTTAGAACATAATAACCATCATTTTAATGACTACGTATAAAGTTGAAAAAGTACCTTGATACTCTTTGGCTTATTTTGGAATCACTAATACGGTATTCGAGTTTGATAAATTTTATAATAGTGCGGGCAGTCCATCCAGTGTTCTTCATCAATTTCTTTATTGCCGATAGTACAATTTCACCTGTGCTTATAGCTTCTTCTTGTTTTCTTGGTTTAACTTTTCCCATTGTGATTATTTTATTTTTCCTATTTAGAATACAATAATATTTAGTATACAATTAATTATTAAAATAGTCGCGATATAAATGGAGGTCGTGGGTTCGTTTTCCACCCAGGATAAATATTGTGTGATGAACACGGTCATTTGTTCTGTGTTTGGGTGTTTATCTATAATATGTATGTATTTAGAAATATATAAGTATGTTTATCAACAGTCTGGTTACCATAGTACAGGCTCTGCCTAGTTGGGATCAGACTGCCGTGTGTGAGATGTATGGGGGTTATTATTATTATCAGATGAAAGATTATTTGAATTGAAGTTATGCATGCCATTTCATTAACGTACACGCCTACAATTGAAATAATCCATAATAAATAACTACTATATTTATAATTTATCTGGACGAATTTTCGAAGTAGACAGTTACATTTTTAAAGGTTATTTATAACATTATAAATCACCGAATTGTCATAAAAAAGGATACTTACTTAATTGGACAGGATATGGCGATCGGTAACTTTTATCGATACATTTATCTTAGTAAATATGTATAACAAGGGAAATAAATATCGAGCCCGTAAACATAAAAATACAACACTTACTCTCAAATAATCGTTCTACTATTAAGTACTGCCGTATACATCTGCAATTCTGAATTAAAATATGAATTTTGAATGAACTTTATATTGGGTAAATCGTTTGGAAAAATATTTAGTTTAATTTTTGATTTGGGTTTTGACATTTGACATCAAATCGTGTATAATTATAGACTATACAAAACCTAAAGAATGTTAATAGAGTTCTTAGTACCATTGCGGTTTATCATGTGATGGTACTATTTTTATTCATTTTACTTCATATTACATAATACTCATTTATGCAATTTAAATTTAAATTAAAAACAAACAATTGTAAACTATATAAAATATTAGTAAAATATTAAAACTAAAATTAGATATTAGATATAAAATTTTCATGGCCATCACCTGGATAGTTTGCGCTCTACTACTATGCGCTTTTCATGACACTTTTTGCCTCGCACAACCAATCTGTGGAACGGGTTATCGTCTGCGGTATTTCTGGACAGATACGATGTTGATGTTAGACTGTTGGACTAGTGTCACTTCAATAGATTAAAAAATTCCAAGAAGGTGGAACAGATTCTTTATTTATTAGGCGCGTTTCTCTGATTTGAAGTAGTAAAAACCTCTGTGTTCCATTTGTAGCCATATTTTACAAAGTAAAGGTTTTTTTTTAGGTTTTTAGGCGCCTCATCTCCCATGTTATCGCGGAGACAAAAAGTGTAGGTACTCGTCGTAGTTTCAGTTGGCTTCAACTTTGACGTACCATTTTACCATAACTTCAAGTAGTGAATGGTTACATTAAAAAAAAAAACAGTATTTTAATAATTAAATCAAAGCCGTACTTTCGAGAGAATAACCTACGTTCAATAATGTGTAATCGGTAATGATTTTGATAAATATTACGTGAATATATTTACGTTACTTATATTTAAGAAATGCTTACGTACTGTAAAAATAGATAATTTTTAATTTTTGACAGCAATTTCAAGAATTAATTTTGTTATTATAAAAACAACTCCTTTTTATATCCGTAAAGGTGTTTATTTTCCTGAAAAGGCTATATAAAGTTACTCGTGCAGTTTGTATAGAAAGAAATGAGAACATAAATACTAAAAACTTTATTACGTCAGTCACAAATACGAATTTCAAAATACCAATTTTCATTATTCCGAATGAACTCTTAATATAACAACTCCGATTGATCATTCATTCTATTTTTATAATTAAAAATTTTTAATGTTTTTAACTACTATGCTGAAAGTACCGAGTTTAAATAGATCGAATAACAAAAAGTTCGACTTAACGATAATTCGAAACATCAAAAATTCGATTTTTTTCTATTTTCTTTCGAATAAAAATATTTTCACACACAGTCACGGTCACAGTTCTAACCTAACTTTACGCAAATGATTAACCATCAATAGAGAGGATCGCCTTCGCGCTTTAATGGTCGCAGTTCTAACCTTTTTTTTTTGTATGTGTTGAAACCCCCTCGGGCTGTCACCCACCGGGGTTTGTGGCGGGGTGGTATGTCGGAATCGGACCGACTAAAACCACAAGTTGTGCCACTCTGCGCCTGTAATAGGAGGGATCCGGGAACTCCGGGAACCTTAACCCAAAGAATTCAATAACAGTAGATGGTACCCGACGCAGGCATTTATAAAAAAAAAACAAAAATATATTAATAACAAAGAAGACGTTTTTAAATTACATTAAATGTTACTTATAGTTTTGAATATAAATGCGTAACTGAATATTATACTAACTAAATCAGAATCAGAATCTTAATTTTAGCAGTTTATTTGAAGAATTGAAAATCGGAATGACGTTTTTCGAACCGAGAACGGATCGAGCATTTGATTCTTCGAACGTATAAAAATCGATAAACAAACACATTGCACTTACGATTTTCGGTAAAATAAATTTAGTGAATTTTAATAATAGATATTATAATTGTTAGGTAAGTATTATGAAATTCGGAATATAATATTATTATTTTAAAGCTTATAAAATCCGGGATCTTTGTCTGTTCTGAAACAACAGATTTAATTTAAATATGAGAATGGATTAGACTTAATTAAATATGACCTAAAAGGTTATAATTAATATATCATATTTAGTATAAATATTCCATTCAGTTCAAAATTTCCTAATTTGATTTTCATTTTACAAGTCGAGCTGTCATGGTACGAAAAGTTTAACAATAACCGTTCAACTTATCCTAGAACTTTGTAGATAAAATGTGAAACTGAAACTGAAAAAAAAAAGTAAAACTGTATGAATTGCAGTTGAACTACAAGGCGATCTTCTGTGTTGATAAAACAGCGCGAAGTTGATAAAGAAGCTTAGAAGCGGAAGGTTTAGATGTATAATTAATTATGGTTTTATGTAAACTGACTGAAATAGGTCGCAAAATTCTTGCCTACTGGGAGCTTTACTCGCGTGCGCTGCGTAAAGCAGCATAGATACTCGTACATTAAAGTAAACTACTAGAGAATTGTATGCTGGTATCATAAACTAGCTTTTAAAGTGTGTAAAAATAATTATGATGACAAATGAAATATTAATATAATTTGATTTATATTATAGAATACATATTTAACACAACTTGGTAAACCAAAATGAAGTTTATATTATTCAATATTTTTGTATCGTTTTATTTTAAATATTTGTGAGGGTCAAAGTTCAAATTTTAAGTACACCAAAAATATTTTCAACAAAATAATCTCAACTTTGCAGTGTTTCTCTTTTGTGGCATGCGACTATCCTAAGCTCACACATACTCCCTACTTTTGCCTGTAATAATTCTACCGTCCGTGGTACTGTTTAATTTGAGAATGAATTTGAATTTTATTAGATAAAACATCATCATCATCAATAGCATTTAATAGTGCACTACTAAACGTAGGCGTCTCTTTGGAACTCCTTTCCATTCTTTCTCTTCCTGTTTTGGCTTATTATACCAAGCGGACGGGTAAAGGGTTTGTGTCTAGTTTTCCTTATCTTAATCTTAGGGGTGGTGATAATTCGTATTCATTAGATTACTATTTAACATTATTTTGTTAACCCTTGCTTTGTGTCGGAATATATGATTTTGGATGTATAAACATTGTTGATTAGCCTGTTGGTCTAGTGCAGAGGTTCCAAGTCTTTTTTCTCATAAACCACTTTCAAAATTTAACCGCCGGTGGACCCCCTGCAGCTACATTTCTACCATATTCCCAAAAATTCGACAAAAAAACAGTTAAATAAATAAATAATAAATGAAATTAATAGTTCTCCAATGGTATTCGGTTTTCCAGATTACGCTATAAGTAATGAGATATTGTGAGAGCCCGCAAGCCATCATCGTTACTTTTAGATGTTGAAGCGAACATACTGTACACGGTGGGTCTCTTTTCATATTATTCCTTCGATGCTTGATGTTATTTAAAGTGATTAAAAAAATTAACAGAAACATGAAACAATAGAAGGCAGAAAGCAGAAGGCAGGAAGTTAGAAACGGATACAGTTTAAACAGTATTTCAAATCTTCACCTATTTTATCAGGATGACACTTTCTTAGATGATCTTCGAGCTTCGATGGTTACATAGAGTCATTTCTCAAAAATTAGTTGCATAAAAGGCATATGGGCAGTCGCTTATCTGCCTTTGATGGAACAAAACCAAATTTAATAATAATTTACACTATACTGTCGGCATTTCTTTTTAGATTCAGCCATATTTCGTATCATTTACCTATCTGTAAATAAAATAAAACTTTGTTTTAGTAATTATAAGGCGGCCTCACTCAACAAGATATGGCTATTTTAACATAATAGGATTACCTAAATTATTATTGCAATGAAATAAACGAAGTACCGACGGCAAACTGATTTTCGTTATTAAAAGCAATAAATCGCTTCATAAAACTTTATTATGGATCTTAATCCATAATGGAGTTTAATGAATGAGGTTGAAATTATTTTAATTTAATGTAAAATATTTTTTCAAAAATATATTTTGATATCAAAACGCCGCGATTTTAATTACTTATTTATTACTTTGATGCACGTAACGGGTACGTAAAAACGCGTACCATTTATGAAAATATATTCAATTAAGTCATTTAGCATTAGGAACTTGAAACATTTACAAACATGCAGGCAGTCGAGTCAAAAAAATTACTAATAAAATAGGGCCAAAAAGTTCAACCTTTCTCGGCTTTTTGTTCTTTTATGGAAGTATCTAATAATGACTGTATTTAATTTTTAATACGTACCTGCCATATGCAAACATTACAAATGTACTTATTACAACATAAAATAAAAGTATGTATAAGAAATAAGCAGGTAAATACTTACTTTTGCCGACACTGGCAAGCACTAACATCGATTCACTTTACATTCTTTTCGAAATTTCGGAAACAAATGAGTAACGTTTATCATTTGCATTAGTATTTATATTGGTGAAAAATCAAACAAGTTCATGCAAGCTTGCAAGCACACACACCACAAGTCGTATTTTGTCCCTTTGCACGTCCGAACAAGCGTTGCGGACGGCGGCGATGGCAGCGGCGCGGGTGGCGCTTTGCAAGTCTCGGCACGTTGTACCGAATATGGAATATGAAAGTTTTTACAAGTATCAGTCGCTGAGCTTTTTAAAATATTATCTGTTTACATTGATAGGTGAAGTCAAGCCAACATTTCAGTTCTTCACTATCGAAAGCAGATAAATTTTCGTGGACCCTTACCATTTGTTAACCCCCAATTTTTTGTCACGCCAACGTAGACCATCGTCGAGTTTCTCGTAAAGCCCCTAGGAGTCCACCTGGACCACTTTGTGAAATGGTTGCCTAATGTTTGATTGTATTTAAATGGATAAAATAAATAACAGAGACATGAAACAAAAGAAGACCTGTGAAACGGACACAGTATTAATTGATAAAGGCAATTTTGATGAGTAAAAGGTAGCCTTGAGGGTAAAAACGTGAACTTACGTAAGCTTTTTGTTTTTAATTCGATTTCCTGTGTGCAAAAAATAAAACATTCAAGAACACAAGTACGCCGGACGGTTTTGACGGGACAAGGGGTTTGCCTCGCAAACTTTTAAATACATGTCACATACTCATAGTACCTAGGGAGTTAAGTTTGGCTGCTCATGGATATACAATTTGCGATTGTGATGAAAAGCAGATTTTATAGTAATTGTGTTAACTGGTGAAAAGCAGGAACAGTAAGTGAGATAGAATTGATTAAACCTAATGGACATGTTGGATCATAACCATTAAACCACGAATTAAATATTCCTTAGAGCTTCATAAGTTTAAGGAAGTTATAAGCCCATTCCTACCAAAAGAGTAAATGGTTCCTAAGCATTTCAGTTTGGTTGAAATCGTAAATATTTTTGAATGTTTGAAAAGCCATAGCAGCGATTGATACTTTTCAAAATACATTTATAATTTGTATGGTCCTAATCAATACAGCATTGATGTTTTGTTAACTTAGTACACAAACTCAGATATGAACGAAGATGAAGAATATTTTGAAAAGTTTCAGAGTTACGTGCATTTTTAATTGGTTTATTAAAATAATAAAAGTCTTCATTGGCCTTTAAAATTTTACTATTATTTAATAATTTTCCTAAAATGTTTTAACCAAGAAGAGACGCAACAACGCCTGCAGGGACTGCACCACCAGGACCTTGCTCAATTGTGGGCTGGAAACCGTTTTCATCAGCAATGTATTTGACAATATATGTTACTCCATCAGGACCCACCCACGTGTACGATCCAGACATGGCTACAAATTCATCTTCAGCGCCAACATTTCTAAGCTCTCCCTTTTCTTGTCGTTTAGATCCATCGCTCTGTTCGTATCTGTGAAAATAAATTGCCCTTCGTGTAATAATACAGAATTAGGATTCAAATCACTTTTTAACAATAATTCATTTAAATGTTACATTCATATGAAGTTAGACTTATACTGGTTTAGTCGATGTTATCACATTCGAAATCAATTAATTTATTACAAACATCATGTGTTTAACTGAAATAGTGGATTAGATGAAGATTTCAGTAATCCATACGCTTTTGATTTACTAGTCAATGTCAAATAATAATATAGAACATACTCAAAATTGTAGGTGCCAAGTCCATCATTATCAGAGACAAGTTTCACAACCTGTACATCCTGAGATTGGGGAGCAGCAGCCACCACAGCAATAAATACAAAAACTATCAACTGAAACCAAAACATACACTGTAAGCACTATTTACGTTAATCACTTTTGAATACTAATATTTTTATTTAAATTTAATATCAATTTAGCTTTAATCTTATTGTACCGACCAGTTTCATGATCACGATTAAACAGTTTGCTATACTGAGTTTACTTGAACTATGTGTACATGCATTATAATAACTCACGTTTTATACTATTCCGAATATTGTATTACAACATACTGTTATTAGTTGACGCACATCTTGTTACAATGTTTTGCGTATTTGACCACTCCTACGACACGATGGAGGTAAGATGAGTACATTTGAGGACACCTTTGATGGGAAAATTGAGAAATCGTTATTTTAATTATAAGCATTGGTGTAGATGATGCTAACTATAATTTGTGTGATTGACAGCAATTAGGAAACTCTTTGTTGACTTTGCTATGAAAGACGAATTAATAATAGACCGTCATAAGATTGCTGATCTATTGTTGCGCACAGATTTAAAAACTGTTTATTTTGTTAACAGTTAATGCAGCCTAATTTTTTGATGTAGCTTGATCACATACCACAAACATTGTTACTAAAATATGCTAATAATAGGCCTAATGCTGGTATTTAAAGTAGGTTAGTGTTCACGTATACATAATAAAATATTGGCGATATTCAAACTTGTAAAAACAAAAGATTTTACAAAACATCAACAGCCTCTCACAGTCTACTGCTGGACATAGGGGTCTCCTTAGTAAGGAGGTTTTGGCCTACTATACCACGCTGGCAGACGGGTCGGTATGGGGTTCGTTTCAAGTTTTCCTTCTATTTTAAGTCCTGTGGTCCTGCGTAGTTTGCTCCCTTAGTCGGCTTTCATGACACCCACTGGATGAATAAGGGTGGTGACCCTTCGTATTCTTAATTCCTCACCACACGGTTTTTTTTATTGAGATGTTATTTACATAACATTTAAAGGTAAAGGTATCACTATCACAATGTAATCAGTTTGTAGTCAGTCTGTCTGTCAAAACCCATTGTCTCATAAGCGAGTAGTCATCTTGGCAGCGGTCCCTTGAAACTGTTAAAGTCTCAAGCTTCTAAGTCAACGCAATTAAAGCTATGACCATGTACCAGGTGTACTTTCGCTTTATTTACACTTCTATTATAAAATTTTGTGCGAAGCGAATTTTCCGAGCACAAGAAAATTTTAATACTCCGATAACCGTTTTTTTGTTTTTTTTTTATCATACATAGAGGTTGTTTTCGACAACAAACTAATATTTTGGGCTCCTATAAATTTGACTGTGACGTTTATCAATGTATGAAGGACACGCAAATACCATGTGTACATCAATGTGTCCTTGACACAGCAATACGCGTCACAGTAAATTTTCTACAAGCAAGCATTTTTTAGGACGTCAATACTAAATTTGGTTTTAAAACTAATAAAAATCTCATTTAATCGATTGGATCGAGATCGAGTATTTACTTCTTAGTTTATTGAGTCCAAGTTAACCATATGAAGTCAATGGTAACCGTTCACCATGGGCATTCGAAGATAGTTCTATAAACACTTGATTTAATATATAATGTTATTTAATATAATAGGTATGACATTAGTAAATAGACAAACAACTGACCTCGTAAATCGACATTTACCTATGACCTCTTGATTCATCCCAGTCATATTTGTGAGTATCTACTTATGCGATTAGTCAATACGAGTTATAATTTTTGCCTGTGTAAAAAGTATCTTGTGTAAAATGTAGGTTTAATAAGTAAAAATACTGCAAATTTTGTATGGCGTTTAAAAGCGAAACTTTGATTTGTTATTGCGATTACGAAACGAGCAAATATTTTACACCGAGCCATGGATTTTTAAGTGTGCATCATTGCTGCAAGGCCAAGACCTTTTAAGTTCACGATGTAACACTTGAGGGTGAACGTAAATCAAAATATTACAGGAAAAGGAAAAAAAATCTAAAAGTAGTAGTAGTACCTCCTATAAGTCAATATAAACCATCAGAGAGGGCTCAATTATAGTATAGTTCATGACGGCCTTCTTTAACTACTGCTTACAATTCTCAAATAATCCGTAAGCAATGTCCCTTTTGCTATCGTCTCTATTGCCTTTCCTTCTTATTTATTTATTTTTTATTCGCTATAACACACTACTAACGCTATGGATTCTGTCTGAATAAATAAAAATTATTAATATTATTCTTAAAGCAAACAATTACACAATTTCCTAAGTTTAAGACTTTAGCTTAGGTTTTTCCCTATGTTTCAGTTTGAATATACTCTCTACTTTCAGATTTTTAATTTCTGAATCGCGGTAACAGCAACAGGTCTGTCCTTTGTTATGCGTAAGTGATGAATAATTAAAGATTTTTTTTAATTAGACATTTTCAGACACATTTAAATGTTAATTTTATCTTTAAATCTCAATGTAGATGGCATTTTCTATGACTAGACTGTAGGAAAAAAATAACTTAAGGACCTAAAATCATTTCGTTTGTAAATATGTATGGAAAAATCTTTTTTATTTGGAAGGATATATTTCCCCGTTCATTCAATTCAAATGTAAAGAAAAAATACCACTCCTATTGGTGGAAAATTAATAACAAAACAACAAGTAATATTATAATAGCAATAGATACCTCCTAGTCTGTTTAAAGTCGTTGCTAAGCCCATGCACAATAAGTAATACTGAGGGTCTATGTCAGATTTGTATCAGCTCAATAGAGAATAAAAAATTCAATTTAATTTTAATTGAATGTATCAAATTTTATTAATAAATAAAGCACAAACAGACCAATTATCTACGCAAACTTATCAACTACTTAATAAAGTAATCAAAATAATAATACCATTTGAGATGTGCGTAGCCCACTTTGGCTCGTGTAGCATGTTTTGCGTAGCATGAAAACCCTCGCAGCTTTCGCACTACCTTGTACCTAATCTATCATGTACTTTTTTGCGTTGTCAGTAACTTCAAAAAGGCTAGAAGGTATCTATGGCCATTAAAGTGTTACATGTTATATAAAAAAAATTAAGAAATAACTCCAAAAAAGTTTTCGCAGTTAGATATGTAATAATTTTTAAATTTTTACTGCACTTTCTAAAATTGTTTGAAGTCGGTTCTACTTAAAAAAAAAAAATTTTGGTAATTGTTTTTTATCATGAAAAACAAGGTGAGTATGTAAGATACAGCAGAATAATGGATTATATTAATTTAACCTCGGATTGAATAAGTTCCTAAGAGCTTTACAAGTTTTCGTAAATTGATTTCTTGTTTATAAGCCCCTAACAATAAAAAGGATAGTGTGCCTGAACTTAGTTAGCCACATTTTAAATTTGCGTACATTACTAGCTTAGATAGTCGTTTACAGTACAACAGTTAAGATTTAATAATTAAGTTTAACACAGGCTTACTTCAAAAACCTATTACTGCGTTAAATAATATATCAATGATAATTCTGCTTGTAATGTAATTCTGTTCTATGATTTTTAGGCGCTGTCTTTGAGGGAGATTTTATCGATCTGACCAGGTTTTGTGGAACCTTCATTACCCATCAGGTTGTCTTGCATGCGTCTTTTCTGGTGGGTCACATTACAAACCTGCGTAGCTTTAGTTATAAGTGCGTTTGGTGACGACAGACTGGTCATTTTTAGCCCTTGCATTTGATAAAAATGTATTTGTGACTCTTATGACCTTTCACTAAGGTTATCAGCGTCATCTCATCTCTGTTTTTGTAGTGTCTCGTTTTTTATTTAATTATTATTTGTATACTGCTGACGTTTGTAAATGCACTGTGACAAGACCTACTCATCAATTCGTATTTGAGTTAGAGTGTGAAGGTAGTAAATGGTTCTTAGCATTTTAGTTTTACAAAAATGTTTTCGAGAGCGCCTCTAACGTCATATTTTTGTAGGCCACAAAACGTTGACATGGAGCCCTTGATGAGGTTTCTAGTACTTGATGGCTGATGGGACTTCGGACACCATTTCCGAGGTCTGGTCCCCAAGTTGGTTGGAGCAGCGCCTGCATTGGCGCGGTGGCTGCCCAACATGAGCGGACCCGATGACTCCTGCAAGAGACTCTACTCGGGGGTTGTGCGGTCCATAGCCATTTATGGAGCCCCAGTATTAGCCGAGATCTTGAAGGCTAGCAACGTCGCACTACTGCGACGACCGCAGCGAGTGCGGCGGTTGTTGGTCGGTTGGAGTCCGACATAACTACCGGTGGGTGGCATCAGAGGGCATTTCCGCACAGAATAAAAAAACCCACAAAACGTTAGAAATTGCAGCATTCACTGTAGCATGTATATTTAACTAAGGGTTTTCCCAATACTAAAAATATTAAAAGTAACGTCCATGACGTTACTCTCGGCTCTTTTTTTGTGTTTTCTTCTTCCTCCTATATAAACCTGCATCGGGTACCACCTACTATTATTAAATTCTTTGGGTTAGGTTAGAACTTTGACCAGCGGCCGCTGAGTGCCAGATGCCCTCTATTGTTGGTGAAATGATTCACCAACAATAGAGGACATCTGGCGCTCCGTCCACTTGTCCGTACATAAAGTTAAAGAAAAATGGTTAGCCCTTTTGAAGAAAGGACCATAATTTTGAGTCGGCTTGTCCGTAAAAATGGTACACGAACCCTAGCCATTGTGTAGCTTTAACCGATACTAGTCAAAATCAACGACCAGAAGCGCGACACATTTGAGTAGTCCCTGTAAATACTCAAAACCACAAGAAAGTTACTAAATATGAACTAACATTACAAGCCTACACAAAACTCACATTTACATACTTGCACAAAAAACATACTGTACAATTCAAGTTCAATGAAAAAATAAACAAATTCAAAACATACGAAATACAACAATACATTTAAAATTTAAACAATGTTTGTATGTTAAAAATTTAATTTCTAAGATTTGAAATGATTACGAAAATATATTTATTATTTGCACTGTCCGTATTAATACAACATTCATGTTTTGATAAATTAGTACATGAAATCAGATTTAACCGGGGATGAAGGGCATTAATAAAATTTTAGAGTTACGTTTCATTATTTTTTAATTAATTGGTTCAAAATAATAAAGGTCACCATAAGCCTTTTTAATTTTACTAACATTTTAACCACTAGGACCTTGCTCAATAGTTGGCTGGAAACCATTCTCATCAGCAATATAGTTGACAAGATAAGTTACTCCGTCAGGACCCACCCACGAGTACGATCCAGACATGGCCACAAATTCATTTTCAGCGCCAGCGTTTCTAAGCTCTCCCTTCTCTTGACGCTTAGATCCATCGCTCTGTTCATATCTGTGGAAAGAAATTATCCTTCCTGTAATCATAGAGGAATAAGAAACAGCAAGTTTTTCCCACATAATTATTTTTGTCACGATATTTTAATTAAAATTCTTGTCTGTTTAACCGATTTAGTGGATTAGTTAAAGCTTTCAGTAACCAATCAGTCATTGTTTTAAACTATCAAAAGTAAATGTAGGACTTACTCAAAATTATAGTTTCCAAGTCCATCATTTTCAGAGACAAGTTTCAAAACTTGTACCTCCTGAGGCTGGGGTGCTGCAGCCACTACAGCAATAAACACAATAATCACCATCTGAAACGAAAACACACTGTAAACACGTTTCACGTAAAACACTTTTGAATACTAATACTTTTTTAAAAATCGATTTTCAGTTTAGTTTTGATGTTGTTGTACCGACCAGTTTCATGATCGCGATTAAGCAGTTTGCTGTGTTGTCGTTACTTTAACTATGTGTACATGTATTATAATAACTCACGTTTTATACTATTCCGAATATCATATTACAACATTTACCGGTATTTGACTTTTTCTTCGACTCGATGAAGATGTGAGGAGGTATACGTTTTAAAACATCTTTGATATCAAGTTTATAAAATCATTAAAATATAGGTGTAAATGATGCTAACTATATTTTAACAAGCAATTAGGAAACTTTTTGTTGACTTAGTTGTGAAAGCCGAATGAATAATGGACCCTCATTTTGCCATTTGTGATTAAGATTGGATTTGAAAATTGTCTAACCTGAACAAACCGTACATTATTCCAATAGTAATATGTACTTTTTTCAAAGAAATTAACTATATACTACTGTACTACTGAGAGAGGTTTAGAACTCCCGCAGCCCGCCAGGTTCGGGAACAAGCCAGGTACCGCAGACGATTCAGGCGTCGGAAGTCGCAGAACGACCTCCGTCCTCGATAAGCGCAGGCCTGGGGGCAACCGGTGAGGCCATCTTGCACCCTATCAGAAGCAGGCTGGGGTGGTGGCGAGACGCGCTCCAGAGCGCGCGCGCCCTTTCGGGAGAACAAAGTGGACATAGGAGTTCCCACACAGGAGGGGTCATTTACACGCCGTATATGGCGGCGCGCACCCTTTCGGAGCACAAAGGAAACATGTGGGTTTCCACACAGGAGGGGACATCTACCCGCCATAGATGGCCCGCTATACGTCGGGGTACCAGGGATTTCCTTTCTAGGGTACACCTGGTTCCCCGGCTACTAATACCCGAGACGGCGAGCGGTATCCGGGTGATTTCCGCACAGAAAAAAAAGGGTAAAGTAATATTTATTGTCAGTTGGGCTGTCAAGACCCATTTTCTTATTAATGAGCTGAGTGGAATTTCTGCTTGCAGGCCCTGCAAGATATTAAAATTTTTAGCTTCTAAGTCAACGTAATCAAAATTTGAACATATACCAGCATACTTCCCCTCGACATTCAGCCCTCAAATTTTGAAAGGAACTAAGTTTTTCGTTTTAAATGTCTAAATAGCATTTATGCACTAAGTGATAAGTCTAAGTTAACTATTTGAAATAAGTTTAGCTGGGCTGTGTGTTCCGCACTGGAACTGTCACCATCATCTATACCAACTATGAGTATTCTTTTTTTATGCACTGATTAGGTGCTGTACCGGGTCCACCAACTGAGACAAACGCTTACGGTTGTCGTATAGGATCCACTTTTCATCGCAGGTTACAATTCAATTCAGAATTCCCTAGTTTCTATGCTGATTCAGTAGTGCTATGCATGCTTCGAAGGGTAAGTCTCGCTGATGGTCGCTTAGTTTGTTTGGTACACACTAATCTTGCTTTTTTGTCTTTCCAATATGACGAAAGAGCTTTAATATTATTTTGACACTAACTCCAAAGCCCACAGCAAGTTCAGCCGTAGATTTAGTTAAATCTGCTTCCACTATCGCCTTCAATTCCAATTTCAATTCAATTGGGACTTATATTACATGGGGCCATATTAACTCAAGATAGGCACAATTACAGTCCTACTGCTTCTTTTGCGAGATTTAGTAACTTAGATAGATAAATCTCTGTTTATATATTATTGTTACAATGAAGGTATTATACTTTATTATAGTGAAGGTATCATTTCAATAGGTAATGCAAGAAGTGCGGCTTTAATGCTATGAACTAAAATCAATAAACATTCAAATATTATTTTCTTTAAAGTATCTATCAATAATAGTACATAACCATATACATATATAATGATATAAGTTGATCTGTACCAAAATACATACATATCGAATTATAGATAAGTTATCTTCAACAAATATCGAAGTGGTATATAGTATTCAAGAACTATTTTCTTCTAAATGGTGATTGATTGCGCTTGCCTATCTGGAGTAGTAACACATTTGACAATCATAGAACCTGGACAATAAAGAAATTATAATATATTTTTCTGTCAGTTTCAGTCTCAAATCCTTATATGACATGAAGACGTTTGTGTCAAAAAGGGATAAAAATAAAAAGGAATAAAAAAGTGATAAAAAAAGATAAAAGGAGATAAAGGATAGCTAGGACAGAACTTGTTTGTATATCTGTCAATCTTTGCATAAAGGTTTTAAAACGAACGCAATTGGTTTTGAGTAATACGACCTTCTGTGTCTTCAATGCATAAATGCTATCAGCGCCCAGACACCTGTCTATGAAACTAATTAATTGCCCTTGGAGATACGTTAAGAGACTGCAGTATATCGAGTAGAATGTGAAAATCAATAGTATTGAATGCATTGTTAACACCCAGTGACGTGAGTACTGTAATTTTTCCGCTATCCATGCCCAGCATGATATCGTCTCTAATGTGGATAACTAGGTTTCATCAACAGCCTATACTAGTCCACTGCTGGACATAGGCCTCTCCTTAGAAAGGAGGTTTTGGCCTACTATACCACGCTGGCCAGACGGGTTAGTATAGGGTTTGTTTCAAGTTTTCCTTCTCTTTGGAGTGCTGTTGTACTGCTTAGTTTGCTCCCTTAGTCGGCTCTTACGACACCCACGGGATGAATTGGGGAGGTGACATTTTGTATTCTTAATCCGTCACCACACGGACAATATAACTAGGTTTAGTAGCGAATTACTTTAGAGAAAGTGGTTTAGTCGTAGGTCGATGAGGCGTTCAAGGACATTGGAGAAGAAAGATAAAATAGATTTCGGATTGTAATCATAAAATTTTGGTTTTAGTGTTTTACGCAGAGGAATAATTTGTGCATCATTCCATGCAGATGGAAATATAACACTAGTCAACATGTTCCTCTAGACGATCCAATTTTCTTAGTGATGTTTTTGGATCATGGATGTTTATGGATGTTTGATGATTAATCGCAAACAGTACCATCGCAAATTGTAAATTTGCGATTGTAGTAGTACGCGATCCACTTTTAATTTGATTTTGTTGATAATTGTTTTTAATTGCAAAAGACAAGGAGAGTTAGTAAGATACAGCAGACTAAACCTAAATTGCATCGTATCCATTAAACCACGGATTGAGCATTACTTAGATTTTTTTCAGGGAGTTCATTGATTTCACGATTACAAGCCCTTTCTATTCAAGAGTTTAAAATGCCGTCATAGCATTTTAGTTTTCTTCAAATTTAAAATATTTTTGTATGTTGAGAATGTCGTTTCTGAGGTTTAAAACTTCTACCAAAATCTATTTAATATTTGTATTGTCCTAATCAATACAGCATTGACATTTTGGTAATTTAATACATTAAATTAGAACTGCACGGAGATGACCGGCATTTTTTTAAATATTGCAGACACTTTTGGGTTTGTATTAGTTTAAAATAAGAATAATAATCCTCGTAGGCCTTTTAAATTTTTATTTATTTATTTATTCATCTTTATGCACTTTTGTACATCGGCGGACTTAATGCCCAGGGTATTCTCTTCCAGTCAACCTTTGGGTGATGTAGAAATCTTGTCAGGTAGGTGCACAGAGGTTACATCATAATATCAAATGTACAATGAAAATATATACGGTTCACTACATATATAAACATATACACACATACTACACTTACACATCATAAATACGCATAGATACACATACTCTATTACTATACTAATATTCTTTTTTTTAAATTTTAACCAAGAACGGATTAATTGGTGTACCACCAGGGCCTTGCTCAATAGTTGGCCGAAAACCATTCTCATCAGCAATGTAGTTGACAAAATAAGTTACTCCATCAGGACCCACCCACGAGTACGATCCAGACATGGCCACAAATTCATTTTCAGCGCCAGCGTTTCTAAGCTCTCCCTTTTCTTGACGCTTAGATCCATCGCTCTGTTCATATCTGTGGAAAGAAATTATGCTTCGTGATCAATTCGAAAACTATAGTCCATCAACGTCGTGCGCGACCGTCCGGTGGGGTGACAGACAGTGGCGGGGGCGAGGTAGCGCGTCATTCTAGCACACCACACCACCCGCTACCCGCTGAACCGTTTAGTTAGTTAGTTTACCGCACGAGATTGCCGGGTTATAAGTATCAAATCAACAATTGATAATAATTAATTTAAATATTTTATTTATACAGGGTTACAAGAAAAGTCGTGCTAGATCCGTTAAGGGCGTGGAGTACCCATCATTTCTGACATATTTCACTTTGAAACACCCTACCCTAAACTTAACCCTTTTTGAGATAATCGTCTTTTAATTATTTATTGAAATTTGCTGATTTTTAGGCTACTACATTTATTTTTGTTTATTTTGTGTATCTTATTATTATTATTTTTGCATTTTTACATGTGTAATAAGATGCTTTAGGACGTCAGTCATTAAAATAGTTCATAAGTTAATTGAATAGATCGTAGTAGACAAGTGAAAGTAAAGAAATAAAAAAAAATATTAGAAAATTATTTTTCTCTAACGGATATCTAAAAACAATATTATGGTAATTGTTCGGCAGATGTTTTTTAAAATATCTACGTTTCATCAGCTATCTAACGAGGTATTACAATCTAGGGTTTGTATTACATTTCGTGGAAAAAAAGTTGTTGGGACGCTCCAGATAACAGTTCTAACGGTCCCGCGCCTATTGTCCTTCAAGTTAAGACGCACCAAGCGAGCGAGACAAGTGACGATTTATGTAGGTGCGAATAAAAGAAAAAATGTGTAGAGACCGGTTAGGGCTGGGAATACAACAGGGGGCATTGTTTGGTTGTCACTAGTTGTCAGTCTGCTTTTGTGCTTCGTACATAGTAGATGTGATATCGTTTTGCTCTTTTTCTCGACTTGGCTGTGATTCTGGACTATTTCTTCTGATTTGTGACTACTGTGCTTGTTAACCGGACTCTGATTTGTACCTGTGATACGGAAGTGTTGAAGATGACGTCCTACACACCTGAGGAATATGCTGATATGCTTATTTGTTACGGATACTGCGATTGTGTGTCTGCGCAAGCTCGCAACGAATACATAACTCGCTACCCTGGTCGTCGAGTGCCGGATGTGGCCGTTTTTGTCAGAGTTTATCGAAGACTTCGAGAAACTGGCTCTGTTTTGAGACGAAATACAGACATGGGAAGACCACGAATTGACGACGAAGAACAGGACAATGAGATAGTGCAACGCTTTCGAGCGGATCCAACTACTTCTACTAATATTGTTGCCCGTGATCTGGGACTTTCGCAATGGAGAGTGTGGTTTACAGTGCATACTGCTGGCCTATACCCGTACCATTACACGCCGGTACACGTTATTGAAGAAGGAGACCCCGCGAGAAGATTGGACTTTTGCAGATTTATGCTAAATGCTGACGTAGAAGACCCAGATTTTCTAAGAAATATCTTGTGGACGGATGAGTCCAAATTTGATAAAGATGGCATAACTAACTATCACAACGCCCATTACTGGGCCCCAAAAGAACTAAGGAATCCCAATAAGAAAAGAGTGAAGGGGTCCCAACGAAGATTCAGCGTGAATGTGTGGATGGGCATTATCTCCAATCATTTGATTGGACCTTACTTTCTCCCGGATAATCTAAATGGGGAAAGCTACGAAAATTTCCTGAGAGCAGACTTGAGTGATTTGCTGGATGATCTGCCACTCAACCTGATCAGGGACATGTGGTTCCAACACGATGGCTGCCCTGCCCATTTCAGGAGAAGTGTCAGGGACTGGCTGGACACAAATTATCCAAACAAATGGATAGGACGAGGTGGGCCGTTGCCATGGCCAGCAAGAAGTCCGGACCTAACCCCCATGGATTTTCATGTGTGGGGGTGCATGAAAAGTCTTGTGTACAGCGAGCCGAATCCAGTTTCGTCTGTGGAAGACTTACGAGAAAGGATTGTGGATGCAGCAAATAAAATGAGGACCACGTTGACCACTGGAGTAGTGAAGACTGGTCTCCGTAGAAGGATGCGACAATGTATCAGAAATAGAGGCGGCCATGTTGAACATGAACTGTAGAATAAGAAAAAGTTGTGTGAAAACCTTTAATAAATGACATTTCATACTTAACTATTGTTTTATTTCACTTTTTTGGGCTAAGTATAAATTTTCTTCTCCACTGTCGCCTATGAAACTAAAGTTTTTTCAATGCATTTGAATAAAACCTTAGATTATTATACCTCGTTAGATAGCTGATGAAACGTAGATATTTAAAAAAATATCTGCCGAACAATTACCATAATATTGTTTTTAGATATCCGTTAGAGAAATATTTAATAATTTTCTAATAATTTTTTTTATTTCTTTAGTTTCACTTGTCTACTACGATCTATTCAATTAACTTATGAACTATTTTAATGACTGACGTGCTAAAGCATCTTATTACACATGTAAAAATGCAAAAATAATAATAATAAGATACACAAAATAAACAAAAATAAATGTAGTAGCCTAAAAATCAGCAAATTTCAATAAAAAAATTAAAAGACGATTATCTCGAATATATATAAGTTTAGGGTAGGGTGTTTTATAGTGAAATATGTCAGAAATGATGGGTACTCCAAGCCCTTAACGGTTCTAGCACGACTTTTCTTGTAACCCTGTATGAGCAACAAAATATTTATTTTGAATTTTTTGTTTTATATATTTTGTATCATAAATGTATTTCCTGTCGCATTTAAACAATTACTAATTTATATTTGCAATTTACTAATTTATTAAAAAATATTTACTAATAAATGTAATAAATTAATTGAATTAATGTAATTTAATAATGTAGGCAAGTTCATAAATGTAGGACTTACTCAAAATTGTAGGTGCCAAGACCATCATTGTCAGAGACAAGTTTCAAAACTTGCACATCCTGAGGCTGGGGAGCGGCAGTCACCACAGTAACAAATACAAAAACCACCAACTGAAACGATGACACACTCTGTAAACACTTTTCACATAAATCACTTTGGAATATATATATTTAGATTTAAATTGATTATCAATTTAGTTTTAATCTCATTATACCAACCAGTTTCATAGTTACGATTAAATAGTTTGCTGTACTGAGTTTTCTTGAACTGTGTGTACCTACAATTTAATAAGCACTTTTATACTATTCCGAATATTATGTTACAACATGCTGTTACTTGTTGATGCACATCTTGTTATAATGTTTTGTGTATTTTACCACTCATATGACAAGGTGAGGAACATTTAAGGACATCTTAGATGGAAAACTTACGAAATCAATATTTTAATTGTATGCACAGATGTAAATGACGCCAACTGTATTTTTTTGATTGACAGCAATTAGAAAACTCTTTGTTGACTTTGTTATGAAAGCCGAATTAATAATAGACCGTCATATTGCCATTTATGATTCTGATTGCTGATTAAATTATTGCGCACTGATTGCAAAATAGTTAAATTTGTTAAAGGTTTTGGTACTCTCGAAGAATATATATGACGACCGGATGGCGTAGTGGTTTGTGTAACGGACTGCTTTTCCAAAGGTCGCGGGTTCGATTCTTGCTCAAGTCAAACATTTGTGTGCGTGAACATTTAATGTTTGAATTGGTCTGGGTGTTTCTATGTTTAATATGTATGTATTTAAAAAAAAAAAAAAAAAAAAAAAAAAAAAAAAAAGTAAATAATATGTATTTATATCAGTTGCCTCGTACCTACAGTACAAGCTCTGCTTAGTTTGTGACTAGAATATATAGGTAGAATATTATTATATTATATTTTTTAGGTACCTACTTCTAAATAAATATTAATGTCAATAATAAGCTAGTAGGTAATAGGCTTAATGCTGGTATTAATTATTTTTTTTAAAAGGCTTACTAGCAACCGAAATTACTAGTTTTCGCTGTATTTACTTTTTAAGTTACCCTCACTATATTTGTGTAAGAAATTATTGTGTTATTATTTTGTTTGAATTGCTTTTTTTTCTGTATCACAGCTAAATCAATGAAACTGTAATTTGTTTTTCTCATGTAAGTGAATAGTTTATGTTATTCTTTGTGAGAAATCAACGATCTTAAACCTGAGTATTCCCGTTAACCCCTCCAGCTAAGCTTAATTGCTTGTATTAGGAGTGGGTTCACGTCGGTAGTGTACTGGTCAGGATTCGAACCCACGACCTCTTGATCGCAAGTCCAATGCCTTAACCACTAGGCTACCGCTGCTTAATGTCAAGTTTTCATCACATAAGAAGTATTTTTTGTAAATATTAAAAGAAGCAATTTGTATATCGATTTTTAAAAATGGCATTATTGAGACTTTTTTAAATGGGTTGAGTATTTGCTTCCGAAATGAGCTCTGTATACAAGATAGATGGAATCTTAAAATTTTAAATGTCCAAATAGTATTTATGTACCAAGTCAGTCATATGCAACCAATGGCAATCTAATTTACCATGGGCATTCGAAAATAGTTGTATGTTAAATTAAAAAATATCCAAAAAAAGCCGTGTGGTATCGTGGGACACCCGATAGGAACGAAGTTGTAACCATCGAGTAAAACTGATTCGGCACATTTTAATTACAACGCCATCTATGAAAGCGGCTATTACCTACATATTTTTCAGTTGGTTTCTAATTAAAACAATTTATACATTGGTAAAATCTCCTTGAGAAATGATTTCCTATCTATTCGATAGATGGCGCTGAATGACTGACTTAAAAAAGACGTGTGGCACTCGGGGACTGCCGCGGTAAAGCTATTGCATAGCATTTTGTATCAACTTATGCAATTATAATTATTTATTTATTTTATTTATGCAGTATTTCTTTTTCTTTGATATTAATTCAAGTTACACTTTTTGAGCGTGGTGACCGATAAGAAAACAGTTTTTTTTCTTTTATTAAATAAATAAGTTAAAATTTTGGTCAGTTAAAAGAAAACACAAAATAGTTGGTCAACAATACAGAAGTAATAAAATAAGATCCTTATCCTAACTTATTCTATCTTACAGCTATTAAAAAGGGATCGAAAGCGATCCTTTTCGTCTTAAATAATATATACCTGCTCAGCAGGGTTGTCTAATCTAGAGTAAAAATAGAAATGAAATAAAATAAAATAAAATAAAGAAGTGACAGTTTTGTCAGGGCCAATCCACTGGGCGTCCCGAGCCGGTTCAGATGAACCCAAACTCGGGGGGTATAGGTGCCCTGGGGGCAAAGTTACAGGGAGGGAAGGTAATGTGGGGAGGAGGCGAAAACTGCCGGGCCCAATCGATTGAGTACCCCGAGCCGTTAAAATGAACCCAAACTCGGGGGGCCCAAGAGCCCCAGGGACAGAGTTAGGGGAGGGTGAGGTAAAAAAGTGGAGGGGCGAGGGGGGAGGTTTTCGTGGGGTGGCGTTTGGTATGGTAGCTACTGTCCCTCCCGGGCTGGTCCAAACAAGCCCAAACTCGGGGGGTCCAGGTGCCTATGGGACAAAGTTGAGAATAGGGGGGTGAGGTAAGGGGAAGGGGGCGGGTAAAATAGGCTGACGGGATAGAACGTCTGGGCCTCCCCTGCTGGTCCAAATGAACCCAAGCACGGGGGGTCCAGGTGCTCTCGGGACAGGTTGGTATTAGGAGGGGTGAGGTAAGGGGAGGGGTGGGGGAAGGCTAAGGAGGCCTACGTAAAAATAAAAGACGATCGAGTAAAACTGATTTGACACGATTTTAATTACAACGCCATCTATGAAAGCGGCTATTACCTACATATTAAAAACAATTAAAACAATTTATACATTGGTAAAATCTGCTTGCGAAATGATTTCCTATCTATTCGATAGATGGCGCTGAATGTCTGACAAGATGACACGAAAATAAAGAGTCCGCTACGCGCTGTTGTGAAGGACGCACGTTTCGCCGATCTCTCACCGTTCGTGCTCGTTACGTCACTTCGCCCGGTACAGGCGTCATCCGCTCCGTGTTCCGAGCGGGGTGATAACAACAACCCGGCGTATTGAACGCCGAACGACCATGGTTGGCGCGCTAGCTATTTATTTGTTTACACCGCGCACACATCAGTCCCTTGGGATACCGCAGGGTACACTGCCGTCCTCAGCCCCCGGTCTGCCACCAGCGGCAAGCCCCGGTGGGCCGGCTCAGTGGGTACCTTGTGCCGAAGAGTGCTGGTCGTGGAGCGCAACGCGAAGCCGCCAAACAGCAATGTAGTGTTTATAAAACAATAAACGAAGACAAAATCTGGCATGCCACCTCCATGCCACAGCCACTACCCGCCCGCTCGTCGGGCACCTCGCCCACCGCAATCTAACTCCGGGATTGCGAAGCGAGTCTACGTCCGCTCCCGAGGCGCAGCGCTATCCGCGCTGAACCGTGTGGTGGCCGCAGACCAGGCCTCCCTTACTCGCCTCCCCACGCAGCCCTCACGGTCACCGCTCCCTGGGCCTAGTGCTCGGTCGAGTACACCGCCGAGTGCTGCTTTAACTCCGACACCGGGAGCAGGGGAGGAATTTTTTACCCTCTCCTCGTTCTCACGACCGTCTTCACCTCCAACACCCGGTCCGTCGACCGGCCGTCCGTCGACCTATCCAGGCCTGCGTTAGCTCAGCCGAATGCCGCACCCGCTATTGCACCTGCCTCTGCTGCTACACCACCTGCCTCTGCTGCTACACCACCTGCCTCTGCCCTCACAGAGACGACACGCCCAATGCCGCAAAGGCCGAAGAAAACGGCAGCCCCACCGCCACGCTTCCCTGGTCCACACGCCACTATTGTGCCGGACCGGTTCCCATCGCCACCACAAGAGGAGAAACGACGAGCGCTTTTTACTACACCGCCGTTTGGACTACCAGCGACCAGTAAAGAGTCGCCTATGGAAGTTGTGGGGCCCTCCTACGCCACTGTCGCTGGTGCACTCGCCACCGCGCGCGGCGGCCCCCCATCTATCCCTGCTACTCCCCCTGATGCACCTGCTGCTGGCCTTCACGCTGCCCCCGGCGTTGCACCTGCCGCTGCACCCGCTGCTGGCAAGAAACAGTTAACCACCCGCTACCCGCCCTTAGTAGTCGAGACACTCCCGGATTGGCCGACACACTTCCGGGAGCTGAAAAAACTACTTGGGCACGCACCTAACGGGCGCCCATTCGGGAAGGGAGTGCGATTCATTCCGAAGTCGGACCAGGAGTACCGCACCATCCAGCGGTACCTGTACTCGCTGGAGACAAAGGAGAAGATCTCCTGGTTCTCTTACTCCCTCCCCGCGGAACGCAGCCTTAAGGTGGCCATCCGTGGTCTCCCAGTGAATACTCCATCAGAAGAGATCCAAGCAGAGCTCACCGAACTTGGGTTCACACCCGAGTTCGTGCGCCCCATCCATGCCCGACAGGGCCGTCCCGGATGCCTATATTTCGCGCAGCTAGCGCGCACCGCAGACCTTACGCCGGCCATTTATGAAGTAAAGGAACTTCTATGCATGCCCGGCGTGCGCATAGAAGCGTGGCGCGGAAAGAAGGGGCCCGCGCAATGCCATAGGTGCCAGCAATTTCGGCACTCATCACACAGTTGCCACAGGCCACTCTCCTGTGTACGCTGCGGCGAAGCTCACACCGCCCGCGACTGCCCACGCCCTCTGGAAGAGCCGCCTACATGTGCGAACTGCGGAGGAGCGCAAACCGCAAACAGTGCCGCCTGCCCTGTTTTCAAACGGGAAATCCGGAACCGGAAGGCTGGCACAATTGCACGAACATCAGCAGCCACACCGCACATAGAAAAGCCCACCACCGTCGAGGACGGCAACGCTCCCGCCTCGCTCATGGCAGCAGCCAATCCGCTGCAGGAGAGCGCGCGTCGCAAGAGACGACGAAAGAAGAAGGCGAAGATGCTTGCCGAACAGGCAAATGCGCCTCGCAATGATGTCCAGAAGGTCACCGTGGTCGCTGCCCCACTAGAGGGGACGAAGGCGAAGCGGACTGTCCAACCGCAGCTGGTCCCCAAACCGGCAACGGTAAACCTGGACCCCAGACTTACCAGCGTCATCGGTACCTTACAAAAGGTACTGGTAGCGCTACTGGAAAAGCGGG